CGACGGCCACGGCCACGGCGAGGACGACGCTTAGTGAAAAATGTGTTTCTGTTCTTCTTTGGAATTTCGCATTTATTTGGAACTATCCAGTGTGCCTGTCGGTTTTAAAACTTGCCTGCTGCCAAATAGAAATACGAAAAGTTAGCCGTTGTTGCAACAACAACGTGAAGTGACCAAATTCTGCGTTCTCCGTTCACGTTCTCCAGACAACGCAGAATTTGGTCATTTTACGTTGCTGTTTTGCAGTGGACGGCAAAGAAATGTACCAAGAATCATAACGCACGTGCACAGCCATTGTTTTTTGCCTTAAACTTTTTGTTTGGTGACGTTCTCGTTGCCGTGGCCGTCGTATTTTGCATAAGGTCCCTAATGGCGGGAAGGGCCTATTAGGATAGTCTGTGGATCCTCGAACAACTATCCCAGTATTTCAAATTTGGAAGATGATAATAATACTAATGATAATAATATAAGCGGCCTTGTCTTGAATTGGAGGAGAGATTTTTNGGCAAAGAAATGTACCAAGAATTATAACGCACGTGCACAGCCATTGTTTTTTTCATTAAACTTTTTGTTTGGTGACGTTCTCGTTGCCGTTGCCGTCGTATTTTGCGTAAGGTCCCTAATGGCGGGAAGGGCTTATTAGGATAGTCTGTGGATCCTCGAACAACTATCCCAGTATTTCAAAATTGGAAGATGATAATAATACTAATGATAATAATATAAGCGGCCTTGTCTTGAATTGGAGGAGAGATTTTTGTTGCATGTTCTTCGATTCACTGCTGTCATTGGTGTGCAATAATACCCACCTACAAGTAATGCCCACTTACGGCTGCGCTCAACTGAAACAAGGAGGGATGCAATTTTTTTACAAGGAATATACCTCAGGCAACCTAAGGGAAAACGTCGACGAGAATATACATATATTTTAAAATTGGTTTGTTCTTTCATGTATCAGTAAATCCTTTCAAAACAGAAAAGAGTTGCCTCTGAATGATTAACCTTTTGGTAAATAATAACTGAATAAAGTACTGTTGTTGTTGTCGTTGTTGACCAGCGTGTTTGCTCTGACGAATAGCTCATCTGCTCTACTTCACATGTGTCTGTGTATAAGAAAGACTGAAACAAGATCCACAATTCCTAGCTCTTGATTAAATTAATCAATGCAAAACGAACTACTTTGGTCTGATATCCGGGTTTCATATGATGAGGACAAGACTGCTGCTGACTGGATCCCCGGAGACGGAAATTATACAGGGTGATTGTATACGAAACCAATTCACATTAACGAATAACAGAAGACTCGCTCTTTTGTAAAACTGAGAGCATCATTAGATCAACTGTAGACAGAGAAATGATTCACCGAGTGACTCAAATGGAAACCAACGTGTCAAAGCGGAAACTGAACGCTGCAAACGTGGCATCCAGTACTACGTGGCTTGCAGTTTCCATTTGACTGACATGCCACTAATAATACAATAAGTTGTCACTTTGGTGAAAGTTGGCGGTCCATTCAGTGATTGAGTTCAAGACTGACGACATACATGTAGCAATCACGTACATAGCTCAAGGCGGCACTCGATCACTGACACGACATTTATTGTATGTGTGAAGTGTGAAAAGTGCAACAGCTTTATTCTCAAGATCTTAACAGTCACGAAACAGCAAAATCGATTGTTAGGCGTTGTCTCTGTTTCCAGCAAGAAAAAAAACTTAATATTGAATCGTATGGTAGCTTGTTCTAAAATGCCCTCGGAAAACGCGATAAACTGTAGCGTGGAAAATTATGAAGATAACAGAGCCGATAATTTTGAAAAGACTGATCATACGCGAAGTGAACGGAAAAAACTGAGCACGATATTATACGTCCCCGCTCTCCCTTCCGAAATGCTTTTTCAGTGACCGCTGACGCCAGTGACATAGGAGCAGCTAATGATAATGTATAATACTAATATACCCCTGCCTCCAAAGCTGGACAGTCTTTTTATTTATTTTATGATATTCAGTCTTAACGGTTGATCGTTATAGTAGAGATAGTGTTAAAAAAAAAAAAAAACTTATATATAAGAAAAAAAGTAAAATATCGCAGACGGGCTCTTCGATGGTGTTTCATTATAAAGTGGAATTAAATTTTCCACACTTTTGAGGGTCTTTCACCGGAAATTTCTGTGTTTTTCTCGAACTCTAACGAACTTGATAACTCGACATAGCGCATAATAACAAGAGCAAGAAAAACGAGTTCTTGTTCAATCTGGTAAACCAAGGTTTCAATCAATTCAGAATCTTTACCCGCCTTCAGGCATGTCAAAGCATTGACAGGGTATCGTTTTGCTGTCGTATACGTGACCAGCTTGGATGGCATCCTGAGGCGTTGGCCAAGATGCCTGTTATTCATTTTTGGTTTCGGCACGTATGATGATCGCAGGCGTTGTGAAGCGAATAAAGACATACACTTGTCAGGGGCACCCAACGGATCGTTTCGGAAGGCCTTTAATCCCCTTTACTCCCGGAAATGCAAAATCATTTTTCCTAATTTATACAGTCAACTGTCACAGTGGTTGAAATTTAACAGTCCTGTGTCAAAGAACATATTTTTGGAANGTTCCCCTAGAATAACCGAACAGATAGAATTTTTTTACCGCAACCTAAAATTAACCTACAGAGCTTTAAAAGTACTCCAGATAGCCTAAAACAGCGTTTAAAAGCATTCGAGAGAAAACGCTCGTTGGGTGCCCCTGACCTGTTTAACTTGTAGAGTCATAATGGGGTTAACTGTCAATCCTAAACTAGCGAGATGATGTATATTAGCAATCAAATGACAAAGGAAGAACTGTGGTTAGTAGTCAAACTCAATTGTTATTCAACTCTCATATGTTTACGTCTTCTATTATAAACTTTGCGATAAATTTGACTTCCGTTTTACCCGAGGTAAATACAAATTAATCACTCAACTAAAGCGTAAAATGCATTTAAAATCTGAAATGGTTTGTCTAAATTAATTTATACAGTCAACTGTCACAGTGGTTGAAATTTAACAGTCCTGTGTCAAAGAACATATTTTTGGAACAGCCAACCGTTCAAGTTTACCCTAATTATGCACCGTGCGTACCGCTTACACGAGAATAGTTCTTCCTTGAATATATAAAAATAGTTTGTCGACTTCCTATGCTCCCGTCGTCAAAAATCCAAGGAATTTTAACACTTCTGGCTTACTGAAACTAGTACATTGTTCCTGCATTCTGCCCCGCGTTACCACGCACATTGTCGACGCGTTTCCTGTGATAATAATCGCCACTTCAGTTGTGCCCTATCGTTAGAATATGCGGTTTCCATTTGTAATTAAATTTGGAGAGGGAAAATAAATTACTGATTGCCTGATTTCCCCTCGGTCATTGCAATCATCATTAAATAGGGTAAAAAAAAAAATGTTGCTAGTGGACGACTTCGAAAATATCCCTTGATGGTGTGATCTATTCTAAATATATCATCTGGTTAAGGGTGAGAACCACATGACTAAACTGTATTGTGTATTATATCCTTGCAACGCACGATATCCTTTACCACAAACAACATTTAAAAGGTCGGCCTTCATGATCAAGCTAAGCTCAACAGCGAAATAAATGTTCTTTTTCCCCTAAATGGACACCATAACCTTGAAAACACGAAATTAAATGAGATACGGTTGCCTACGGTACGTAGTTATTTAAAGAAAAGATAAAAAATTCCGCTTTGAGATATTTTTATTATGTAATGAACACGTCTTTAGGTAATGCTATTTAAGTGCTGTTTTAATGCCGAAATATTTTTTTTAGAAATGATAGTTCCCCATTATGTTTACTTGGGTTCCTAAGGCAACCTCGCCGGTGAAAATGATCAATAAAGAGGTCATCCATATTGCGCAAATAGGGGAGGGTGCCCCGTTTTTTATTGCATTTTTGTAACATTCTTAACATAATCACCAAACGGGTTAAGGTTTAGAATTTTTCATACACCACTTTTTTCGATGAAATCACCCTGTTATTTTGAGTAAGTGATCCATTCAGTAATTTGACGTTCTTGTTATGCTGCTCAAAGGTTAAGTAGAGATTTACCGTGCTTGTCTTATGATCAGATGGAACTCGTGATGGATCCCTGACTTACCCAAGGCAGTGTTCAATTCGCACAAAACAAGACTGTTTTTATTTTGTTTTTCTTTTTATTTTAATACATCATTTTGTGGCAGACTTTTGTTTTCCTCTTGTATTATCTTTCAATTTATCTTTTCGATTTACAATATATTTTATTTTATTTTATATACAGTATACTTTTTAAGTCCATTTTCTTCTTACATATTTGACAAAGCTCGAGAAACAAACTTTATATTTTCTGAGTCTCCCTCGTTAACATGAAATAAGTGTATGTTTGTCATTTAATAAGATGAGTGGCTTTTCATATATTCTCTTTTTTACAAAAATATTCACGTATGTATCAAGTAGAGCACGAGTGAATTTCAGGCTCATATCAGTTTTTACCAAACTCTTTCGTTGTAAGAGTAGAAGACATGAATAAATCCTCTTGGTAATGTCTTCGTTTTAAATATTACTTTGGAAAACAATTTTAGATATATTTACAATATACATTGAGAATGCTTTTATTCTACACATCAGCTAATCTATGCGGAGTACCATGGGGAAAATAAATTATTTCGGCAACGATGCGATTAAGACACAATTGAATAACGTATGCTTAGTGAATCGAAACAATACTTTGCTCTTTGTCAACAAATCTTTCTAAAAAGATTAATTTTCTTCAGAGTTAAGCTTGAAAAAATTGCGTCATGAACTTCCAAGTTTATATTATTTCAACATGTTTAAACAACCTCAACGTTAAACTGATGTAAACTGGTGACATTATTTTTCGCTTTTCTTTTCCTAGCTATTTTACCGATGAACTACATGGGTGATGTAACAAGTCCTGGTGAATTCTGTTCGTTACCAGATGGAGTTATCCCTGATCCACATGGCAGCGACGAAAAGCTAAAGAACCCAAATGGAGAAGTGACCGTACAGCTTGTTGTGGGCGTGTTTATTAACAGCTCAGTACTGCTCGTTGCTCTCTCGGTCAGTTGAGTCTCTGATTCCCAGTTCAGTAATTGTCCCATGAAATTAAAGTTTGGAGATATGACCGATCGCCTTTTCTTGACATACTCATAAGCTTCGTCTAGCCTCAGCCGATGCCTGCTTATAAGGTAGGCGAGGCAAATGGTAGCTGATCTGGAGATGCCTGCTTGGCAGTGAACCAACACTCTTCCTTTTGAGTTCTTCACTGAGTCTGAAATAGGATTAAAATAAAGAAAAACATCAAACAAATTTATCTTACAGAGCTAGGTAACTCGAAACATATTACAACTTCCTCTACGCCTCAAAAAAATTAAATTTGAGTCAAAGGAAGATAGCGGCAAGGTAAAAAAAGACCAGCATAAATTGTGTTTGGATCTTTAGCTAGGCCTGTATTATAAATATATTGTTGAGAAACTTCCGCCCACACGTATTGTAAAGGGAATTCTTTCATAATATCTGTTTTCCGGAACGTGCCCATTTTGTCTCTTTTTACAATGTTAAACAACATTTTGTAAACAAAAATTCGTCGAGAAACATCTGATAATGTTTTGCAAACAGAGGCGCAATATGTCTTGTATTAATATCCGATTATTCTATAAAAAGTTATACAAATATCCAACTATTTGCTGTTTCAGTGTGGAACAAGGTTGGTTGTGAAAGTCCCGATGAGCTTTCGATTTTTACTTTCCAATCAACGTCTAGCACC